CCAGGGAAGTTCCAGATGCAGGTGCTACCTCAGTGTGGCCATGCAGTCCATGAGGATGCCCCAGACAAGGTGCGTCTGGTACTGGTACTTGAGGATGGTGAAAGGACAATGGTGGGAGTAACCTTGAATCTCCCGGAAAGTAGAATAAGCCTTGGGTTGGCCTGCATTGCCCACAGCAGCTGCTGTGGGCTACACAGATGCACCTCCACCGTCTCCCCAGACCTCTCTGTGGCAGCTGCCTCTCATCTTGGCTTCTGTGTGTGGGCTGAGGAGCTGCTGGCACCTGCTCTTTCATTCCACGGTCTTGTGGTTAAGACCTTAAGCTCTACTTTTCCATTAGCCCCAAAAGCCAGATGGAAGAAGGGATCATTGGGGTAGGAACAGCTCCCTCAGTCAGTCACACTTAGGAATTCCTATGCACTCCTCCTGCAGGAAGAAGGTGCTTTGTAACTCTAAGGGGAAAGTAAGCCTCCATGCATTCCACCTGACTTCTCTGGAGCCATCCCAGTAAAGATGGTGGGAAGGATCTCCTTAGCCCTGCGAGGATCCAGATCCTTTTGATTTCCATCTCCTGAGACTTCTAGGACCCGTGAGCCCACTATAGAGCCTAACTTTCCAAAACAAGCCCACATACCCTTCCAGGCTTAGCCCGTTGCTGACCTTCATATGGCTGTAATCTCTCCCCTTTTCTAGGTAGCTGAAGCTGTTGCCACTTTCCTGATCCGGCACAGGTTTGCAGAGCCCATCAGCGGGTTCCAGTGGTAAGGAAGTACAGAGGTTTAAGATGCCCAGCAGTGCTGGCCAATTCCAACAAAAAGATATTTGCAAGGTTCCAGCTATCTCTACCTTCCCCCTGCCAGGACTGGGCCACCATGACTTTCCTCTTCCTCCTCAGTCCAGTCCAGCGTGGATGTTTCTACAAAGCCATGGTTGTGTGGTTTGTGTGCTCAGGTCCAGTGGGTTGTTGCTAAACTGAGATTAAATTGTGCCTAGTCCTCCCACACCCCACCACAGTGTGTACTTGAGGCACCCCCTCTCTGAGGAGGCTGGGATGGGAACCAGTGCCTTCCCAGGCCCTTAGAGAAGCTGTGCATGCCTTCTCCCACCTTTCTGCTGAGGAAGGCTGGCCAGGCCTGGAGGCTGTGTGGGCATCCAGAGCAGGGTGCTCACCCTCAGCACTGTTTGACATTAGGGGCAGGTGGGGGGCTTTGCTGTGCATTTAAGGTGTGTAACAGTATCCCT